GTGAATATATAATAGAGGTAAAACTATATTTCAAACAACTAGCACTGATAATAATAGGGGTATATATTCTACCGAATATCAAAACAATCAGCAAGAAAGTACAACAAAAGATTGTAGAAATAGTAACAAATAGAGATTGGAACCAATAAATTTCAAAAATTGTTCAATTACAAACTTTAGAGTTTCAAGCATCGGTGAAAATTTTGACCAAATATTCAAATATTCACTGAGTTTTTTTAAGATATCAAAAACATAATAAATTATATAAAAAAAAATTCAACGTGATATTAAATTTATACCGATACTACATATTAATTACTTAATGCTAATATATAATTTGCATGACATTCATAAAAGCTTGTTGGTTTTACATTTTCGAAAGTTCATATTTGATTCTAAATATCAGGAACTATAAAACCAATCGTTTTCATATTACGTTTTAAGAATACCATTCTACCAAATAGCTTCGGTTTTAATAACGTTCTCTTTGCACTCATAATGTTTCCTGCGTCAGAAAACAAGCGTTCACTTGGCGTGCTTGTTGCAGGAATTGAAAGAAATTTTCGTGCCATTTCACTTAAAATTGGGAACTGCCGTTTTTGTAAAGACCACCACACCACGGGGTCTGCATCGCAATCAAGCTCAGAAAGAGCAAGATAATTCATAATTTTGTTCTCGTCTTGCTTTTGAAAATTTGAAGAAAAGACAGATTTAATAAATCCTTTATAATAAGCTTGTTCTTTATCTTGGTTAGTTGTTGAAATTGAAGTCGAAGAGACTGAAGCAACTTGTTTGGATGAATAGTATTGAGCTTTAAATTCTGCATACATCATATGTAATGCTTCTTCAGCTTTGTCCCGTTTGCTAGTTGGTAAAAGCCTTTTGCATCTAGGGTCTAGTTGACATGCCAAATATACGTTTATATCAGGATCTGGCCAATAGTGAAGTAAAGCCTTATAAAGAGACAACTTTATACGATCCAATAAGCCACTTATATTAATAGGCGTATTAATTTTTATTCGTCGTTTTTTTGGACCTATCATGGTTTCTTCCGCATCATCTTCATATTCGAGATCTTCATCAAATGCGGTATCATCTGAATCGAGATCCAAAGGTAAATCAAGGTCTTGAGTAACAGGACGTAGCTTGGCTATAAGAGCTGTAATTAATAGATGCATCATACTGATCGTAACGTATTCACTTCCACTAAAATACTCTGTGTATTCATTAAACGGACCAAGTAAAATAGTTAGACCATTCATTAAGTTCTACTCATCCTCTGTAAGCATTATTTTTTTAAGACGATTATAGTCCTGACGTGCATCCGGCGAATTATCTTTGCTTAACATTATTAAAACCATATCAATGTAGTCCTTAACTAGGAGAAGTCGTTCCCATGCTAAAAAGGACGAGTTCCAACGAGTCAAAACATCACATTTTAAACGAAGGTATTCTTTTGTATCTCGAATCACCTATGTAATTATTATATATATATATATATAAATTAAAAATGTTAAATAAAATTATATTTATTTTATCTTACATTTGCATCCAGAATTTGTAAACTTCTTTGTGTGTTTTCTAATCTCTCATTTTGTTTTGGGCTCATGAAAAAATTTATTAATCGTTTTGCATGTGCTACAAATACTTCAGCTGGTAAAAGACCCTTGCCAATTACAAGTTGAAGCGTGTGCGCTGTACAGGGCATTCTGCTAACTCCTTCCATTTTATTTATAGCGCTCTTTACATTTGCTCTATTATCTGACGTAATTGTAAAGACCTTACCCGTTAATCTCCAATACTCAATTTGATTATTAATAGCATTATAAATATTAACTGATGTATGTGGATATTTTAAATAAGACAAAGTAA